TTGCAGTGCAAAGACGTGGGACTTTGGAAGTGATAATATCAGGCCAACCTTCCGCGCCAATTTGTCCAGTTGCTGGATTGCATATACCAGTTTTTCTGGGTGCTTTGTCATCATCATCCAGTCATCCACATAGGAAAAAAGTTCCACGTCAGCTTGCTGTTTCATAACTGCAGTGAACATCCATGTCATAACCATCATCTGTACCACCGCAACAGGGCAACCTTCAGGAACTCCAATCTTGGCTGTTATTGCAGGGCCCCAAGATCCACCACATGTGAAATGTCTTTGCAAAGAGTTCAAGAACTTCTGATAAGGTTGCCACGCCGATTGCATTCCCAACCTCTTGTTGATACATTCCAACACCGGCCTCGACAATGTGTTATGCCTTTGAGAAATCCAACGAAACACCCACCAGCTCGGTTTTCAAAAGAAGAGCCTCTTCCATTTGTAGTTGGACAGCCGCTGTCATATCTGTTGAGCTCCTCCCTGGGACAGACCCATATAAATTTTCCGGAAGATGGGGGAGGATATGTGCCAACATTTTCTTCGTCATCATCTTTCCCCACAACCTGTAGACCGTGGCCAATATCGTAATCGGTCTGGTAGTTGAAATGTCACCGATCTGGTCAGTCTTGTTCAAAAGCGCCATCCTGGCATGTGTCAATGAATCTGGCCACCTTCCTGTTTTCGTAAATAAATTTAACAGTTGCAATAGGAATGGTTTCAAGTTGTTTGGCAGGTACTTGAGCTCGAAGTTGCTAAAACCATCCATCCCTTTGGCCTTTCCAATTTGTAATTTACGGAGTGCCCATTCCAGGTCATTCATGTCAAAGTCCGGATTCATCTCTGAAAGTTGTGGTAGAGCAGAAATAGCATCTTGTATCATCGCATCACCAGGTTGCTCGTCTCGCTTGGTGTTCCAGAACTGGTTCCAATACGTTTTAGCTTCGTGCAAGATAGCTTTGGGAACCGCCGTTGGGGTGTACTGACAGATTTCACCATTGTCGATGTGTCCCTTGATTTTTCGTAGCTTGATAACACCCTTACTGACATCGACGACTTTGGCTTCTGCTTTGGCTTGCTTCCATGTCGCTCCAATCTTAATACAATGCAAGTCTTCATCCTGTAGCTGGCATCGCTGTAGACCTTTTTTGCGCGATCTGCAGACTGTGATGTGGTGAGAGGTGAAAACGTCCAGCGAGTCCACGCGTGGAAGCCCGGGTGGTTTAACAGCTTTGAAGTGCTTAGCTGCTCCTTGTTTCCAATCTTGTTGGAACACCTGCGAAATATGCTGTTGACGGTGTTGCCTACACATGCTTCTCCATTGGGCTTCTCGGTCACGCAAGGTCTCGCAGATCCACTGTGCATAACATGCTTCTGGAGGCTGCAGAGGGAAAACCGGGCCCACTTCTGTAAACCACCATGTCACAAAGGAACCATGGAAGCCCGTGGACCGCAATATGGACGTCCAGGTAGCCAGAGTTGCAGAATGCAGGCGGCCCCAACCAAGGTCCAGGTCGCTCATCTGCTCCAACCTTTTTGCCTGAGATATATACGTCTCCAGCCGCCGTATTTGTCGAATACGTTGTCTCAATGTCAAGGTAACTTCGTCCCCCGAAGGATTGAATTCTCCATGTCTGGCTTTCCTCACAGGGCCCAAAGTCTTTTCCTTCCTGAAACGCAGCTGTCCTCTTCCCTTGAACCGTGCTCCAAAGGGGGTCGCAGAGTCGTCTTGTAGGAGGAATTCCAATGTAGCCTCATAAGCCTGGCAGAAGGTAGTCCATGCTTGTTGGGGGTCACCTTGGCATAGGGCAGCTTGTAGTTTCTCTCTGTAGGCAGCTGGAACATATGCATCCTGTAGCCTTTGTCTGTCCATTGGGATGTGGTCCACATTGACAGGTGACTTGAATATATATCTCGTCTCAGGCAATGCAGACCAGTCAAACTGGGCCACCAGGGTCTTGTGGTCCGTTTCAGGCTGGGCAGATACAGCAAGCCATTGGAATGCAGGGAGGGCCTT